TGTCATGACCATATGCCCCGCCTACTCCGTCTCAGGGAAAGGAGAATACTTCGCTGCAATCCTTGGGTTGTAATTGCTATTACTATTTGCAATAGTTCAATCATATCCATGCGGAGCTTATTCTGATTGCTGCAACAGTCCAATTATTACGATGAAGCGCAGTCGTACAGTTCCGAAGTCGTGCCACAGAAATGCTCAAAAATTCGTACTTGTCAAATTTTTTGATTTTTTCCATCTTCAGAGGAGGTCAGCGCTGTTGGTTATTTCCATTTCTCAATTGATCATCGTTCATCATTGTCAGTAGTTTTCCATAAAGGTATATTAACGCGGAATTTTAGTTGACAGGTGGTAGATCAACAAGAGGTTTTGAGGCAGATCATTACTAAAAATTATTTATTTCTGTTTATTCTAACTTTCTAAAAACTATCGAATCAGACAAGAAAAACATTTCCAAGAAAGCAAAAAACATTTTGTTGAAATATTTGTCATATATATTTATTGGTATTATTCGATCAATATACATGTAACGTATGATATTGATCAATATCCATTCAGATGACAAAGAAACATTCTCAACGCCTACAACACTTACTACTACTGCATTGATAGAATTACAGCCAAGCAATGAAAATACGGGTAAGCTGTCTAAGAGGCTCATATGGTGAACAAGTAAACAATCACAGTAAAATATCTAGTAATCAACGACAGAACTGCTCAAGCAAAAGCTGCTAATGAGATACCACTAAACGCAATTTCCCTTCCCTAAATAGTAATATTGTTTGTGTGATGGCTGGTGTGTTGGGGGGGGGGAATGGAGAGAAGGGGAGCTGGCAAGGCAATGAAGCGTCACATACGACCAATACGGTGGAAACCCAAATTAGACCCTTAAGAAAATTGTAAACAACAAATTTAAATGGCTCAGAATAAGATAGTATAGGTAGACTAGGTCGATCGATTGGTGCACGACTTCAACCTGAAACTGAATATTTTTAAGATGGCGTTCCTTTTAAAAATTGCTGAAAATGATAATTGTGCTGTGATTGTGTTGATAATGGTCCCTTTGCATTGTCCATGGCCAGCAGTACGTTATTACGTTTTTACAGCCGTTCCTTTCTATTTCGTGGGCGCGCTACGAAGGCTGACGCTGGGTTTTCTTTTACATGGAAAAGTCCAAAGATTGTTGGTTGACGTGGAGCAGGCGCTCGTTCTGCGCCCTCACGTCATCGGGCCGAGTTCTGACGCGCTTTTTCCTAGCCATCATAGACTTTTTTGGGATGCGGTAAATTCGTTCATAAATCAAGTCAAGCATGCGCCCGAGAGAGAGAGAAACGGTCATTTCGTTAACGTGCACGACAATGTTCACGGAAATTTCTTTCATCCAAGAAATATGATCTGTGAAAAAAAACAAAAAATATCAATAATGTTAACATTATTTTAGGTCGCTATATGGCAATAGAGAATGACAATTCAAGCACATCGTCATCAGACGAAATACTTTTATGATGCTTTATATTATATTAATGTAATGTATACATATATGAATAGTTAATAATTGCCAATGTGTCATCATCTCTTTCTCTTTGTTCTCGATTCTTTCTCTTTACAATTTTTATGTTTTCCCAGCTCTCACATTCACAAATTGCTCTATTGTTTTTTTTTCTTTCGGTTTGCTAAAGTGTTATGCGATTACTGTAGCTCTCTTTCTCCCTCTCTCTCTCTCTCTCAATCGACTATTGATGATTTTTCCATCTAGGAAACCGTTTCACGTGCATATTCGCTTACCTCGCTTTGAAATGATATGGGAAATTAGGATGATCAGAGTTCAAAGACGAGTTTCACCCACTCATATTCCATCTCGCTCTCATCTCTTTTACCTAATATCCTTTCATTCAATCACTGTGTGCATATAAGAGGTTTATTGAATGAATTTCTAATTTTTCATGTTTTCAATGTGTTCAAAGAATGAAATCGGGCGGAAAATCCTTTTGAAAGCTTTCGAGGATGGTGAGAAGAAGCTTCAAGTATGAGCAAACAGGACTTGCGATGAGGTTTTTCAAATGGATATCCTTGGTAAGTGGAAAGCGGCACGCTCTGGAGGTCAAATCTCGGATCGGCTCCCGCCCAGGCCAACCAAGCCTTCTACTCCGGGGACGGTAAATTGGTACCAGATTCGTCTGGGAGGATAAAACACTGACTTGTACATCGGCTGGCCCCGCAAGTCATTGTATAGGCCACATCGCATTCAATAAGCCACTACGATTCTGAATGGAAGTAGAATGCGTGCCGCATCCCAAAGGATTACTTCACGGCAAAGGACTTTATAGTTTAGTATCCAGCTGCACTGGGCGATGTGCTTTATTTAACGCTGCATAACAGGGTGAATCAAGACAATTCGTTGTTTAGCACGATTCCCTCCACCCCATCGCCTTGAGGGTTGAACTCTCGAAGACGGCTTGAACCGTTGAACTTAAAGATACACGTCGTCCATGAAGGTTGTAGATAACGCTTTGGAAAACAAAAAATGTTCTGCTCCAGTTATCCCACGAAATAAATGCAGAGGAAACTGTCGCCTAACCATAAAGAAACGCTCCATGATGACCGATTACTATGTAAAAAAATTGCGCGGAAAGGCGAGTGTGGTTCGTGCTGGACAATTTGGTACCAATTTTGCGGAACAAATGTGAGATAAAGACGCCAAGGCCTACATGGATTCCGTGACACCACCCTTCTTCCAGAGATTCCGCCTTCCGACTCCGCCTTTGAGGTGTGCCTTGCAGCGAAAAGCGATGCTAGCGGACTACTAGCATGAAATGGAAGCTTCATTGTCTCTTGTGGCATCATATGGTTTAGAACATGAAACGACTGACGAAAATGCGAAAGTTCGCACGAGAAGGGTAGTGTGGCTTGCGCTGGACAATTTGGTACCAATTTTGCGGAAAGGATGTAATGTAAAAACGCTAAGCCCTCCATGGCTTCAGTAGCACCTTCTTCCGGAGACTCCGCCCCAGACTCCGCCTTTGAGATAAGCCTTGCAGCGAAAAGCGATGCTAGCGGACTACTAGTATGAAATGGAAGCTCACTTGTCTCTTGTGGCATCATAGGGCTCACAACATTGAAATCACATGATTGGATTTGTCC